GGTTGAGTTTTTTTTTGGGTCATAGTTGACGAATAATGTCTATTGACTCGGATTGTGAAGGATTGTGACTTTTAAAATATGGGTCCCAGGAAGAAAAAGGTTTGTGAAACATTGATCTAAAAGACCCTTTAGACCCTGCAAATTCTGCTAAATTTGTACATTTTGGGTAGGGGGTAGGCAATCATTTTGACTCACCTAGAATTGGGTGCTAGGCCAGATAGATGGAGCGTCTGTGTAAACTAAGATAAATAGCATGTCGAAGTCATGCATAAAGCCTAAAATGCTACAAGACTTTTAGCATTTTCTTACGACATCTATTCGGGAAATGCTGGCATTGCAGGGAAAAGGTAAACATTTAATGATAATATAAATTAATAACATGATTTGGAAAAGTTCGGTGGGCTGGATTAAAAAGCCAAACAGGCTGCATTCAGCCCCCGGGTCATAGTTTGCAAATGCTCTCTGCTCCTTTGAGAGAAAATGATCTGACCCCTTCATACCACCCTGTTGTCTTTTCCATACTCTTGTACACCGTCCTCTTAAATGTGATCGAAGTGTGGTTACTGGTCCTCAATCCATTGCGTTGTGTGTGTTCACAAAAGTAAAAAAGCTGATTTTTTTTTTTTGCCAGTAAACTGAAATGGATTGTAGTCCCAACCAAAGGCAACACAAGACATCAGTCACACACTTTGCAAAGAGAGCACATGCTGTGGTTATTGATGGTACTGTTCAAAAGGGCTTTCAATGAATAAATGGTTCTGTTACTTGAGCAGTTCATCCAATCATCATACAGAATGCACGCTACCACGCCACCAGCTGCTCCATTGACTCCCAGTGAACCCTGACGTTTGTGGATGTAAAATGTCTTGCTACATTCTTCCCATGAGGGTACAGCTCCCACAGTTAATCCAACTAAACCTCAACGGGGTTTAATACTTTTCAACACCACAGGAGGGTAAGAAGAAAATTCTAAAACATCCGTGACGAACAAATGAATCTAAAAGCAAACTAATAAACTAGTAGTTGGTAATACCTAACACACTTTTATATATACTTTAATAGTGACAATGAATGTCAGGTCAGGATATGTTTTCATTCATTTATTTTGTGTTGTGTATTTACAGTATCGCGTCGAAATACGAGCTCCCCCAAAATGCGAGTTTTCCAATTTACGAGTAAGCAACTTTAATAAGATTTTACTCATGGTTTTTAATTATTTTGAATAGGGAAATTGCAATCCAGATACGAGTGAATCGACACAGAGGTGCTGTTGTGAAACGGATTAAACTCGTAGAGGTGCTGTTGTGAAACGAATTAAACTCGTATCTAGAGGCTCCACTGTATATGTGTACGTATTCATATATACATCATCATCGTTAAGGCCGGCAGGGAAACAAGAAGGGAAAAGCACAAAGTTGGTATGAAGCCACACAAAAAGATGACGTTTTATTGGATCGCAATAATAATAATAATAATGTAGCTAAATGTTTAGGCTTTGAAATAAAGCATGTGACTGTGCATATTACCATATTACTTGTGGTTTATATTATTATATTTTGGTGGTTATATTTTTATCACGTACTAATGATGTTGAATTATGTTGTTGGATATTCAGGACAGTTCGTTGAACGACAAGACCATGTGTAAAAATCCAAAACTTCTAGGGCTGTTTTTCAACCTTGTGGTCGCAACCCCATCTACATTCACCTTGAATTTGCATGGCGTAGCCTGAAAGGTCTAGTTATTGCTAAAAAGAAATTACAGATAAAAATATTTTTTCCCTTAATTATTCTTCTTCTTAAAATTAAAACAATTGTACTCTTTCAGCTTTGATTATGTCACTGCACAAGTGACAGCTACTAAAATGTCTCTGGGGGTTGCCAGAAATTTGTAATGTAAAAATGGGCTCACATGCCATAAAGGGTTGGGAATGACTGCGTTATGATGACTGCAAAAAATAAACGCCAACTTACTGTACTTTGGAATGTGGAAAGTGAGGTGGGGGAGCTCACCCACTGACCAATCGTGCACCGTAATCCTATGTACCGTACATGGAGAACAATCAACTTGTAGCGCAGACACGAAAACGCAACAAAAATCCTATTGTGAAAAAAAAATCCAGTCATGAGATTATCTGTAGATTACTGTGTAATGGAGAGCGTGATTTAAATTCACACTGACCACAGTACAACACGATTGTACTACATGTGTTGCAGAATAAAAACATAGCACAATCTCATCTGTCCTGACAGCTTTCGAGACTTTTTCTACTTTCGTGACGTATGGAACGAACACATTTGCTTGCACAAAACTAGTATTAATACTTTATTGTGAGACAGAAATTCAATTTTTACTGTGTATTTTTATAGACTTAAACATGTTCATATCATTATTCAGATTTTTATTATATTACAAAACTGAAGGCATTTTTAGTCTTTACTTACGGGGACCACCCGATATTTTCTCTTTGATCCTCACAATTTTGGAATCCAGTAGTGGGCCGGATTAGACAGTTTGCTGGGCCGGATTCGGCCCGTGGGCCACCAGTTTATCATCACGAATGTATGCAGTGAGGTTACGACAACTTTGGTTAAATAAACTTTGGATTATCTTAAAACATCTTTTGCAATATCATCAATAATTAGAGAGTGGAATATTTGAATATCTTGGTACCAAATGCAAAATAAATGTTATTTTATACATGGTACTGAGCCCAGTTTAATATAAAACATCAAACCTTTGCTCCATCAGTAGGCACCAACCTCGTCATCATCACATTAATCAAATGGGATGATGAAGAGGCTGTGAGTCAGCTGTAACACTTTATAGGTCAGAGAGAAAAAAAATGTTCAATATGTCATAGTCGAGGCCCGAGGAGCGCTTTCAAGAGCTTCACTTTCAGTTCCTTTCTAACAGATAGGTTTCCATATTACCAGTCTTTAAATATTCATCTATCTGCTCTTGCTGTCTCTGGTACAAAATAAAGCAAATTCTTTGTTCCAGCAGTGCAGGATAACACAGTGACCTCTGTGCTGAACTCTGGTGCATTTGTCCCTTGAAACCGGAGGCTGTAGAGATTATTTCTCTATGTGTAAAACTTGCTCCCCACACAGCAGAGGCCCACAAGCAGGCAGCACACTGTTGTGTGTGTGTGTGTGTGTGCAGTGCTTGAATTGCTGGGTACAGTCCCTTTTGTGATGTGCAAAATGATATCTCTGCGGTGTAACCATCTCAATTACAGAGGGAAGAGATTGTCTTACCCTTTGGATTTGCTTCAGAGAGCACGACAAACGAGCTGCAGCTACTTGCTGTGGACTCATTATACTTTGTCTATTCACAAGAGCAGAAATGACAGATGTGAACCAGGCTAGAATTAGCAGATTTGCAAGCAGATTTCTTTTTAAAACGTTAAAAAAAATTCATCCGTTTTTTTTAAACGAACTCAAACGTAGTGATTAAAAGGGGCAGTCTAGAAAAAACAGAGAATCCCAGAGAGGTTTTCTTTTCTTCTGTGCTGCATCATTTATTCATTCAAATCTAATAGTTGAAAAATGCCTTTAAAGTGCCAAGTTATCTTTATTTTATTTGGAATTAATTCTTTTATTTATCATTTTCCAAAACTGGACAAAATGTTTACAGAAGGTTTTACAAAGAAGACAGCAGATTTTCAAGTCGGTTGTTATTTTATTTTTGCATGAGGTCCAAGCCCTTTGTAAAGATCTGTATGGCCCAACAGTGCACACACTTGAAAACATCGGGAAGCACTTTGGATTGTTGCAAAGAGACGTCTCTGCCGTGGAAGGATGTGGGACAAATTCACACACGCGCGCACACACTCTAATGGAGAAAAGAAAGAAAAAGAGAAGAGGAATTACTAAAAAAAAAAAAAGATCAAGACATTGCATCTCAGGATTAATTTGTTTGAAAAAATAAAACTAAAATACATTTTGACATTATTTGCAGTATATAGTAGAATGCAGGATACATGTCCTATATTCACAAATGTAATGACTAAAAATACCCCATTTAAAAAAGCACAAAAATATCCAATGTGTGAAAACAATGAGGGACAAAAACCAAAGTTATTGTTTTTTTTACCTGTCAGTTTAAAAGCAGATCTGTCAATCTCGTGCTCTGGGTGGCTGGTAATACTGCTGGGTCGGTCTCGTCCGTCGAGGCTGTCCATCTCCGCCACGGCGAAACTCCAGCGAACTGTCATAATAACCATCATCTTCCTCCTGCCGTTGTGGATTTAATGTAGTGCTGATGTTATTGCGGGTCATTAGATCAAATGTCATTCATATTTTCTAAACTTTCTACTGCTAGAAATGATAATTTGCCCAATGTATAATTCATTTGTTTTCTCGCTCCTTACCAACATGTCAGTGGAAACAGGTTTAATGTTCTGCAGCAGCACTTCTTCCCAATTTCCATAATCGCTAAATACGACGACGGCCGTGGTGCCTGATGGATGCACAGCATCTATTCTGGCGTGGTAAAACTGCTCAGGCGGACACCAACCAGACACACAACCACAGATAGGACACACAAAGAGAAATGCAGTTATTTCAATGCAGCCATTTAAACATATTTGACAGGCTGTGTTATTGTCAGTAAAGGAATGTGACCCATTAAGTTAAAACATTAGTATTTCACCACATTAGATGACATGTACCTTACTGTCTTCCCAGTACAGTGCCATACACTGATCTCCAGGTTTCCAACTATGATCAAACATTTGACTCCTCTCTGGTCCACGACCTTGACCCCTGCCTTGTCCTGACCTTCTTTTAGGTCCTGAGTAGTTGGCGGGATTTTTCTTAAGAGGGGCATCCCTGGTGGGCGGGCAGGATGAGAATAATGGTTTGATCGGTCCAGTTCTTTTGTGTTCTAGAACACCATTTTGGAAATGAAAAGGGGGCTCAGTCACCGCTCCAGAATCTCGTAATAACCCCACCTCGTCGGTCATTCCCAAGCTCCCTTCTCCTTTTGAGTTTAGGTTTTGTGCCCCGGCGTCTCTTTGTCGGTCGTAATGGTCCATGTTTGGTCGATCGTTCTTTCCCTTTCTTCTGTCTGTTCGCTTATTGTTCACTCTTCCATCTCCCTCATTGCTTGCGAAATTAGTCATTTTAGATGGAGGTTCATTGTCTTTTAGCCCCCTCCTGTGTGTGGTTGCAGTTATAACCCCACCATCACCATCTCCATTTCTGGATCGCTGATGGTAAGGAGCACTAAAGTCCATCTCCTGCTGGGGATCTTTTGACCGTGTGAAAGTGGTTGGGAAGGAAGAAGGAAAACTGTGGTTTTCTCTCATCTCCCTCTGGTCATTTTGAGATCTGTTAGACGGCCCCCTGGACCACTTCTCCTGGTTTTTGACCTGCTGGGTCTGGGCTGAGGGTTGAAAGGATGTGGAGATAGACGAAGGCTCCTGACCAGGTTTAGGAAACTCGGTGTCCCTGTGAAAGCGAGGTGGTCTGTCATTCCTTTGTTGCCTATGGTCATGATGTGCCTTAAACTGTGAAGTGTCCTTGGAGTAAAAATTAGTTTTACTGTCCTGTCGGCTTGGCGCTTGGCTCTTTGGCTCTAAGGATAAAAACACAATATATACACATATACATATATACATGAAATTAGTTTCATTAAATACCTGTTAGAAATATATATTTAGAGACAGAAAAACAAGTCTTGATACTTGTTGACATGAGAGAAAAGCCAACTGCTTTGAGGAAAGAAGGATGGACATTCCAACGCACCATCAATAGAGAAGACTCCCATCTTGGATTCCAGAAAATCAAAGAGGGTACTTGGTCCAGATGGCCTTCCCCCGACTCCCTCCTCCTCATCTTCATTTCTGGACCGACCTCTTCCCCTTCCTCTGCCTGAGGAGAACCAAAAATAAAATCTTGCTGACCCATTTAGGAACACTTTGATCAATGGAACTGCATGTTCGAAAGTGTAGACTCTTTACTTCTGTGCGTGTACATCTACAGTTTTGGGAGAATTTTTTTTTTTTAAGGAAACATTACTGAAAACAACATTTGTTATGTTTGCATTAATTAAAATCAGATGCTGCTGTTCTTTTTGTACGGGTCACTTTAATATGGTGATATCCTGGTGTCTAAGCAGCTGTGTGCACCAAGAATACATGTCGTTGTGTAATCCATTAGCCCATTTAGTGTCAGGAAAAGGTCATCTGCTCCAAAAAAGCATTTAATGAAACTGAAATCATGAGAGTGAGGACAATATATGAGATAACTATTTGAGTGAGTGTAACATAGACTAGTGTCTATGTTACACATAGTATTACAGTGTAACATAAAACACGAGGAAGGAGGAGGACATTTGGTGAAACAAACCAGTAAAACATCCAGAGTTTTGCTCAGCAACTGGCAGAATAGTGCAACACATTTTAATGGGGGTGAAAAGCTCCACTCACTGCTTGATGTCCTCACTGTGGTTTGGGTTGCACTCTGCTTAGTACCCACAATGCTGTGCCATCATTTAACACTGCCAGTATCAGTACTTGGTACACAAATATATATACATGTACTTGTTTGTAACCTACAACAGTGACTACAGGTATTCCCTGCACACATTTGCATTTTTTAAAGCTTACGATGTGCTTAGGGAAACCAGTCACGCAACAAAGGGTGGGAACAATTTGTCACCTATTGAGTAAAAATTGTCATATACTGTTATACCACTGTTAATAAGGTAGTACACAATTTGTACTGCATTAAAAAGGACTGAAGTATTTCTTAAGACCTTGTACACAATAGGCAGGTACGTACAGTACGTATACCTGCATGGGTATGTATATGTGTACCTCTGGGTGGAGGTCTGTTAGGTTCTGGTAACAAAGGACTTGGTCTGTTTCCAGTGGATCCACACAGTAGGCTGTTCAGGGCCACTTCCAGATTGTTGTTATTGTCCATCAGAGCCAGACGAGCAGCCTCTCGATTAAAGCCCATCTCCATGATGTCCTTCAGAGCGCGCTCATCCACCTACACGCAAACATATGCACCGCCGTTTACAACTAGATAAAGAAATATAATTCATTAAAAAAGAGTGAAACCAAATGAGTGCAAAATTATACCTCAACAAAGGGGTTCTCATACACAGAACTCTTTGCTTTCTATTTATTATATATTTACCTCGCAGGTGGAGTTCAGCAAACAAGGCGGTTTAGAATTGTATAGAAAAACTTAAACTGAAACCACCTTATAGCTTTTACAACACCCTAATCTCACCCAATCCATGAACATGAGACCAGAGAATGTACAGCAGGACACAGACCAGACTCACCTTTATTCTGCTTTGTGTCCTTGACGAAAGGCTTCAATTATATGATGCTTAAACACTAATTCTCCACTAGCTTAACTTGCTTTACTGGTTTGGACCAATTTTACTCTCTCACCAGCTCTCTATAGTTTCCATCCTGTCTGCTTTCAGTCCTTTCAGGCCTGTCTTCTCGTCTTCTCTGCTGGTAGGAGTCTTTGCTTCGGGGGAAGGAAGTAGCATTGGCTAAATTACTGCCGGCATTTCCTCCACCTCCAAATGTGCGGGGACCCTAACAAGGTAAAGAACAGAAAAATCAATACAGCTGCATGGTTCTACAAAACAGTACAGCAGACCCAAGGAGCAGACATATACAGCAGACAATACAATTCTGACTTTTAATAAGAGGAGTTGTTTAAATGTCAAAGGCATTCATACGAAAGATAAATATCAATAAGGAAACGGCGAAACTATTTTATTTTTTTGGAATGAAGTAGAAGTCCCTGCAAAGTTGGAGTCCAATTAGATAAACTGTGAAATCTGACAAAACGCTGCCAGTGTGAAATTACAAGTTAACTCTAAGATTACACTCTGCTGCCAAGACACGGGAACAGCAGCAACCTTTGGTGCTGAAAATAATTTCTATTATCTGAAATAAAGGTACTGTTGTTTACCTCTTTGGTCTTCGCCACCTCTGCAATTGCTGCTGTTCGCTGCTTTTCAAACTCATCGTTCTCATCAGCACATCTGACCACACTCTGAGTCTGGAGGGTCTTCCTCTGGTCTAGTTCTCTGCTGTCAACTTCATCATTCCTGGCACATTTCTATGAAGATCCAAAAAAGAAATCAGGTTTCTGTCAATCTTCAGTAGAAAAAAAAAAAATCAATATTTTCAACCACTAACCATTCAAACTCCATTGGAATCTACCAAGTAGTACAAGGACAAGAAACTTTTAAAGGGAAAAATGACTCCAATATTTAAAAGAAATACTTCTTTTTTTTTCTCACCTGACCAAATGGCACAAAAGGAGGGGGTCCGCCTTCTGCTCCAATATGGTTCCTGCTGTGTTTTGCCAGACTCTGTATGTCAAACAATATGAGAATATTAAAATCTTTGAAAACTTCTAGGGAGAATAAAACCAGAGCAATCGTGACATTTAATGTAGTTCAAAAAGCATGGCCAATAATACAAAGCAAGCCAGGCAATCATTAAAAATAAAAATGATCTTTACCCTTTGTAGCTCCCACTTCTCCACCATGTGATACACCTCTCCTCCAAGGACGGAGATTTTCGAGTCATCCAGGAGCAAAAGACCGTTTCTCAAAAGGACTGTACCAAGAAGCTTTACCTTTGTTCCAGGCGGCGTATTTAGACTAAAACACAAACAAAACTATTAATAAAGATTTCACATCATGTAGGGGCTTCACACAATGCTACTGCTACTGACTTTCCTGCACACCATTGCTCTGTCTATTTCACTTTGTACAGTAAATGGTGTGGCTCAGTGCCAGGCGATGGGTGGCCAGGCTAGAAGAGCATATTAATAATCCCAGCTGCTCAGCTATTCTCATGGTAAATTAAAATCTCCTTTATCTCATCACTCCTGATAAGGCCTGTGCCTGTCCCATTAGGATAGTACCGGAACTGGTAGGGATTTCTAGCCACTGATGCAGGACACTGCACAATAATTACAGATTTTGCAGCAAACCTGCAGGACAGCTGCTAGAAGATGCCAGCGAATGACCGGTGTAAAAATGAGGCGTTCCCTTTTCAATAACCATTCAAATGTGCATACATCCTGCAATTTTCTCTGATCAGATCAAAGTTTTTTTTTTAAATGAATGTTCTTTGGCAGTACTGTTATCAGACTCATCCTTCTTTGCCATCATGCATGGCCTGCGGCACACACAGAGAGACACTAACCACCACTGTTTTTAAGCCAGTGTGTGTGTGTGCAGTTCATAAAGAAGGGATTTGTTCTGTTTTTTTCCCTCTCTTTCCACATCAGGAAGTCAGGGCCCACATTCTGGCCACTCCACCTGTAAAGACTGGCTAGTCACCATGGCAGCAGTCACCAAGACCACCGTTGCTGGGATAGAGATGTAATTAAGGCTGGGAATTGTTAGATCAGCTACTGCCACATGGAAATTGCAGATAAGGAGAAAAACAGAGGCATGTGGTGAAGGTGAAAATGTTGACAAAGAGGCGAAGCAGTGAGAGATTCTGTATGTGCAGAATCTTGCACATTGGCTTTGAGTTAGGTGAGACACCTGGCAACACAACACCCAATTTGTATTAGAGTTGCTATCAAGAATATTATTTTTAATGAAATTGCTTCAATACTCTTGCTGGTTACATTTAAGTTCAAAAGTATTTGCTTTATTTACATAACGTGTATTGTGATTCTTTTTATGATAGCAAATTCCTTGTGTGAATCTGGTACTTTTTTTTTGAGATTCATCCTTACAAACTTTAAGTTTAACACACACCCATTCTTTGTACTATATGAATTCAGTCGTTTTTAATATTGTGAAACTGTAATTTTAACTTCTAAAACAATAATTGTATAGCTGATGTGGAGTAAATAACCTGAATATCATAATTCTGAAAAGAAAAAAAAACAAGGGTGTGATGAAGATACCTGATCTTAGACAAATGTTTGAACTCCAATCCAACGCAGTTGGTATGCCCATCTGTCATTTGCAAACGCAGCATTCGTGGTGCACCTTGGGACTCCTCGTGGTCCTTGGGAGCAGAGACGTTTCTTACCTTCTGCACCTGGAGAACACATGGACCCACCAACTGTCCACATGCAAAAACAACAGATGAATAATGGCTACAAAGTAGAGCAAAACAGCAGCATGCGGGAGAGCAGTGAGATAGGCATTATTTATTACTCCCTGTTTGGCATTGATTAATTACTATGTATTATATCAAACTGAGTAGATGTGAAAACTAAATACTAAAATACTTATAGAAATATTTAAAAGTTTGGTAAATCATAAAATGTGTCAGAATAAAAATCCATTCATTTGTGTATATGCTGTATGACAAATGTCAATGTCATATGCAGCCTTAAAAAATAGTAGGGTTAAGCTCACAAGTTTTACTTAAAGCTTTTAATCCACTGACAATATTTGAAATCTTTATTCCCTCTGTGTGCACCAAATTCACTAACAGAGGTCCGGGATCCCTGTCTTTTCAATCCTTTGGAGCCATCTAGTGGTAATTTCGCAGAACTACGTTTCAAGATATAACTGTTATATCTTGAAAATAATAATTAAAAAAATATACATCTTTAAAATGAAGATACAAAAACAGTAACACGAACATATTCAACTCTAAGTAGATTTTGGGCAAAACCTAATAAAAAAACAAAATTAATCTGTTGAAGATAGTGTTTGGGATTCAAATATGTTCTTGTGTTGGGCATAAAAAAAGTCAACTAACATGTTATGAGCCAATAGTAAAAAATTGAAATTAAAAATATTGTCAAATGCCAATGCCAACGTCTTAGTATATAGTACTATGGAGACATATTTGGGCACCACCGGCAGATCTGCAGTGTCATAAAGATACTAATGAAACGAACACTTAAACATCGATGATATAGATCTGTTTCATTCAGCAGAAAATACAAAAGGGTGGCTTTATCAATTCATTATTTTATAGGAATATAATGTCAAGATTGTTGATAAATCATACCATATCCTTTGGGAGCAACACTTTGTTGCCTTATTTTGCAATTTATTTATTTTTTACTCTGACCTTTAAAACGTTACACCCTAATTGACAATAAGAATGTGAAAATGTTATTTAATGACTGTAGGGATATGGAACTGTGACATTCGGCAATAAACAGACACATACACACGGTGAGTTTTACCACTTCCTAATAAAGTTTCAGAAATATATAACTAAAACAGAAGAGGTTCTAACTATAACACTTACTTTCTCAGTTTTTCCACTGTTGATATCCAATGGTAGAAATTTTCTACCCGTAGATCTAAGATCACTCTGCAAAGAAGACACTGGTTAGTTTAGAAAAAAACAATAAATCATGTCTAGTTTATTACAAGAAAGAGCAATGTAATGGACCCGTGAATCTTATCCACTTTTGGTGGCAATGTTGGTTAGTTGCAAATGACACTATCTCTGTGTCGTGAATGTGAACCATTCATTTTTCCAACAACAATCCAACATAAAAGTGGTGCTTTGGCCCAGAGGCAATGTCTCTGTCATTGGTGTGGAACCTCAGGGTTCACCTCCTGGGCATGTTCGAATCCCGGTTAGGGCGGTTGGTACCTTCCAGTGGACCCGCAGGAAAGTTTAGGGCGGTTGGTACGGTGCAGTGTGACTTGGGTGGCGACTGCTGCCCCCGTGACACGGTAACGGATAAGCAGATCAAAATGGATGGATGGATGGAATCCAACATAAAATCTAATTATAGCTTTTTAAATAATTAGAAATATCACACAACTTGTAGCTGCTGTTGGCAGTTTTATTTCATGTGTTTAAATGTGCTCATAGGTAGGAGAACCAAAGTTATGGTTTAAACTGTTCTCAAGAGATTTTTGCGTTATAAAATTACGGTTTAAACTGTTCTCAAGAGATTTTTGGCATTAAACCAGGACACATGTTATGGAGCAAGTCTTTTGGAGTAATCTTCAGGACAGTCAATCTCAAGTGTTATGCTGTTTCTAACTAACTTTGAGATGACTTAGATTTTCTTTACATGTCATTCCAATTTACATTGTTGCAATGGTAAGCAAAAAGGTGTATTGGCCTACAGTGTTGCTAAAGGCTACACTACAGGCCAGGCCAAAGATACAAAAGAGAATGAAAACTTACATCAAGTGCAATGCGGATTATGTCACTGTGAGTCGCTTTCTCAGCCGAGCCTTTCAGTTCAGCTATGCCTTCATCACTGAGGTACCTGTGAGATGACACGAAAGGTAGGGATGAATGTAAACAGATGTAATTTCTTCTGAAACTTGTATATATTTACAGAAAGTTATTTGAGGTTTTCTATAAAAACTGAAAATAGGGAGACTCAATTGCTATAGAGTATATCAGAAAGTTATTTGAATTTTTCTATAAAAACTGAAAATAGGGAGACTCAATTGCTATAGAGTATATCAGGGATACGTTCAACTAAGCAGGCCTGAGTTTAAAACGGAACAAGTAAGCTGTGAGTAAATTAAAACTAGAAGACTTTCGTTTTTGAACATTTGCACGTTCAGATAAGATTAATGTGTATCCTATGTGAACTGTTTAAGAGTTACAGTTTTTTCCTTTATTTTTTTATGGGAGAATTCAGGAGCGAGACAGTGTTTGCGGGCAATACTATCGTTGTTCCGCATTTCACGTTCATATTCCTAAGATGATATAGGGAAATAGCCTTAAAATTAAGCCATCTGCAGATTTAATGTTTGCGGGCAATACTATCGTTGTTCGGCATTTCACGTTCATATTCCTAAGATGATGATATACAAGCATTGTTCTCCTTATGGCAAACCACAACGCTATTTTGGCAAACATTAAAATAAATGTAAAAAATATATATATTTATATCAGTTTCTAAGAACTGTGGCAACAAATGTCAGATTAAGTTATAAAACGAAAGGAAAAACTATCGTTGTTTATTTGGCTTGCTGTTTAGATTGTGAGTCTTCCAGTCCCGTAGTAAGAGTAAGAGCAGGTTTCAGTTGTCTTTAAATAGATTTAACGTAATATATGGTAATAACAGAGACTGGTGTTATGAGCCACGGCCAATATGCTAGTGTTCTCAACGACTAGGCTAGCTCAGTGATATTAGCTGCCATGCTACATACCAGCCCTCTTTCGTCAATGAATCTGTCAAATCCGTCATTTTCTTCTCAAACGTAAAATTAAGGGAACAAAGTAACGTCTCAAGAATTTTAAAGCGTTCACATGCGGACAATACTTATTTAATTATAGACATGTTTTCTTTCTACCATGCATAAAGCTTGCTAATATGACAACGAAGAGCGCTACGTAATAACGTCGCCTGCTACAACAGCAGACGCTGTTTACTAGTACGGGTATCTGCGAGGGTCAAATTGCTTTATATTCCGAACAAGGCTTTGAGAAAAGAACTTACGTAGAATCTCTCGTGACATCATCTTGAAGGGCAAGAATTAAAAGATTTTATACATTTTTAAATATGTTTTGAAAACCTAATTTTTTTTTACTCATCTAACCTTCCTATACCTCCATTTGGCATTAGAAAACCTAATCTTTAAAATCGAATGAAACTCACAAATATGGTCATTATAAAAACTTTTTATGTGTACAGTCATCAGTTGAGGAGAGGATATTTCGCTTTTTATCATCCGTCTTAAATATTTATGTGAAAAAATACTATCATCGTCAAACATGATTGCAAATTCTTTGGTAATTTATTGATAATCAAGATTGTATAATCAAACCAATATTTTAAGAAAATGTATCTATTTTATGCAGAATTGTTTTTTAACTTTTTTTTACAAATATGGAACTGGTGTGGGCATACTTTATATTAGAAAAAAGTGCCGTTCTAGTAACATTTGTTTAGGACATTTCTGAATGGGACAAAGGACCTTGGTATCTTGGGTTTTGTAATTGTTTTTACAGAATAATTGAATAAAAAAATGCTAATTATAAATCAAAATATGGCGTTGCTAATGGTCATTTTAGCTACTACCACAAGATGGAAGTGTGTGCACGCCGATGGTTTACTGTCCTCATATGTGGATTTTAGGATTAGTGACAGTTCTCGTTAAGTTCAGCACGTGGACTGCCCCCTTTCAGTATTCAACCTTCATTTCTCGGACAAAGGGCTTTAAAAAAAAAAAAAAAAAAAAAGAAAACCCAATACAAAATAAAACCAAAAACTTTAATCCCACCTTTAAAAATGCAAAGTGAACGTCGAACTTAATTTTATTCTGGATGTTACAGCTGTGGTTGCTGTACTTAGATAAAGTGCTCAAAGCCGGATTTATTTTCCCACAAATTTAATTTTTGTTTTTTTATTTTATATATTTTTTTAAATCATCGTATTGTCCTTAGTGTGTATTTGAATGTTTTACTGCAGGTTTACTTTCCATTACTAAAGCCTAGAGTTCAAGATGTCTCACTTCATGTTTACTTGTAAAATTTGGTTACATAATTATCTGTGTTAATAAAACTATAATAAGTACGAACTAAGTTTGACGCAGCAGATCTGTGTTAATAAAACTATAAGTACGAACTAAGTTTGACGCAGCAGGACGTGACCAATGCACTGTTTCCTCTACCATAAACAAGAGAAACCAATGACAACCGACATTGGGTGACGCACCACGTCTCTATTGGTTGTATTAAACCTGCGCTACCTCGTCATCAATGCGCGGGTCTCTCAAAACAACAAGGTCTCTTCCGCGTTAGTGTGTACGTTAGGCGTGTATTTTGCAGCCATCAAATAGTTATTTGAGTTTAAGGTTAAGTTGGGTGTTATATCGTTCATTGCCACCTTTAACGAAAATCCCGCTTTTAGTGACATGGTTCATAATTTTGAGTAGCTCTGGGGAAAGCCACCAGTCAATGATAGTTTAGCCAACGCGCTAGCGATTCGGCTAAACCTGAGCAAAGAGGACATACACGAATGGGCTATCTGACAACGCCTGTTTTTGTTTTTTTTTAAATTCAGAATAGACTCACAGTTTCGCTCTTTTTTAATGTGGTAGCTTCCCTGACATAGGCCTATTGTGTTAACTGTGTCGTAAACCGCTGGTTTTAAGCACATGTCTAGCGACATGGACAATTACAGTCAGCGGTTTGATTCCGGACGGGAAACTAAAAATCAGAAGAAAAAGGGGTTTTCTTACCACACCAATGCATGTCATGACGAGGGGGACCGTAGGCCAAAGTTTGTAAGTATAACTGTAAATGAGACATCTCCCACAAACACCTCCTGCTTCTCGGTACTGTAAACCCTTAATCAAGATGTGTCGTATATGAAATAGTAATTATACATATTATAGTTGTTTACCTTATATTGTAAGAGGGTCTACCACCAATACTAGACAGAGGATAGATCAGTGTTATTTATATATTAAATATTGTTTATCTAGTTTATTGACTTCAGACTACATTTTTTTGCTTTCAAAATAAAATGTAGAAAGCATAGTATTTGCATTAGATCTTGTTAACACGAAACCAATGCAGATATACAGTATATTTATTTAACTTAGTATTCATGCGCATTGTTCATTTCTGATATTACAGTCTTGGTCTGAAACAGGGTATTTGTGTTTTGTTTTATCTTGTGCTCTAAGTGATGCACCAAAAAACACAGCGAGATTTAGTATTAATTGAATTGTATTATTAATTTAATACATCTCCTCAGTAGACTGGTTCTACTCTGCCTCGATTTTTACACATCTATTCTATGTAAAATTGATTGACCTCTGACTTTTTAATTAAAATGCATTGTGTTTATATTATTGTTGTTCACTTTAGTATTCATCTCATGTTCATGCTGTAACTAGAAAATGCACCTGAACATATGTAGACACCATACACATAACGAAGACTAAAGATTAAAAAGGTAAAGTATAATAAAAGTAAAGAAAAAAAGTTTTGTAAGGACATAATGATTGCCAAAACTCTCCAAACCCACTGGTTAGTCTTGGTCTGTTTAATTGGGTTTTATATTGTAACATGTAAAATGTTTTACAAATTAACTCAGGCCTATTTTTTTGTCTCATTTGATTAAAAGAGATTTAATGGTTGTTTATTTAAATGAGATTATCTGACAGTCAGAAAAAAAAAACGCGGATGTTTTTCCAGCCTATTTTTACATTACCGCAAAACATAATTACACAATAGTGTCTACATGAAAAATACATTGGACACCAAGACATTGACAGCAGAACTGTCCTGTGATAGAATTTGTGAAACACTGTGAGTCCTTGAGCCTATTCTGCGTGCGATATATTTTAATTTCGGATGCCCTTCAATTTTTGGCTTCCTTATTTAATAATGATTTCCCCCTGGGAAGTCTGCGTCAGGACATGTCAGTGTTGATTCATCTGCTACTTTGTCACAAAATATCAAGAAAAGTGGAGTAGTGGGAAAAAAATGCTCAACTTGAAGTACAGCTTAATTGTTTGTATATTGGTTTGAGCTTTTATGAATAAAAATGATGTGATTAGGTTGTGTCTGCTGTGTGATAGTTTTATAACATAAATTGACTAGATAACATGTACCTGAGAAATAGGACATGAGGCTTTGAAAGTTGTTCATATCTCAACTTTAGCTGCTAGCAGTATACAGCTCCATTCAGTGTAAATAAATAGTTCTTCAGTTGACACCTCCACTGTGTGAATCAGCAGTTTGCGTTGATGTTAAAGGTTTGATAAAGGCAGCATTACCCTCAGTACTTGTCATTGTTAGTGACATTTCTTTTTAAAGAAAACGGTGGTTACATTCTGACAACGGAGTATCCTGAGCAACATCTAAATCTTGGCTGATGGACAACCAATAAAATATGCATGTATTGAACTGAAAGCATTGTAACATATTTTTCAAATATTATTGCAGTTTCTCTGCATATCCTGATGCGATATGTTCTGTTTCCCAACTTTAGCAGTTACCCTTCAGAAACATCACTGATGATGTGGTAAGATGCGAGGAACTGAAGTTTTTACTTAGTTTTTTATTTTTGGTGTTTTTCTCTGTTTCTGTAACACATAACACGACTTACCATCCAGTTTGAAGATACATTCAGATCTGATTTTAACATCTGACCACAGTCTTTTGATCACAAGTGGACAGTGTGACGTGTATTTTCCTACATTGTCAATGTGTAGTAATTGTAAATTGTCAGAAAATGCTGTGCACTTCAACATGATTGGGGAATTCATGTCTGAAAACAAGCTGTCAGTTGTCTTGAAGGTGTTCTTACTGCTCGTTTCTTTTAAATTGCTGCAGTTTCACAGAACTCTTGCACTTCTCAATGCCAGAGAATTGGTTTACTTGCTGACACTTGCAGTACACACACTTATCAACATCTAAATTTTCCTTTTTTGGAAGTAAAGCCTTTTTTATTTTATTTTTGTCAGTGTGAGTGCTGTGCCTGCAGTTCCCCCATCCATCTATTGTGTTTAAATATATATTATATACATACTTTACTGTACTTATAGTATACATATAATCCAAAATGTCATTAAAAAAAGTGAAATCAAATATTCACCTTTCAATTAACAAAGATGCTAATGCAAAATTGTCATTTGACCCCTGTGTTACATCTGTGTAACTGCCTGTCAGCATTCACTCTGATCACGAGGAGTCACTATAGAGACTCACCTATAGTTTTCATTTCCTATTTTAAGTGAAGTTTGGCTTTGCCCAGTTAGCTGTCCACTTGTGTTCAGATCATGGAATTAATTTTTAATAGTTTTTAAACAAGTGTTCTTTTCTCACTAATTTTCACTCTGGCTCTTTTTGAGTGTTTAGTGTTGTTGTTGTTTTTCTTTTGTTTCTTAACTTATGTTTTTTCGTCACCATCATTGGAATGCTATTTTAAACACCTTTTTGTTTATGAACTAATGCATTTTACCCTTTACTCTACCTCTTTCATCACTTCGATGCTAAGTCACCTTTTTCACATTGTTTTCTTCTTCTAAACTGTTTATCCTCTGTTTCAACAGATGGACAGATTTGCCAGTATTCGGATTCCGGGCAGTAAGAAAGAGCGGCCACCCTTATCACACTCAAAACACAATCCCAGTGAATGGTCTATTTCTTCATCTTGCACCGCACAGCAGTATGAGGAGCTGTCATCAAAGATTACCTCTGAAAAAGAGATCTTGGCTTTGTTTGAAAAGATGATGGTATGTTGGTTTGTTATTGTTATTGAACGTTATTCCCTAAATTATGATTTTATTTTTCGGAGAGAATAACACACCTACATATTTGACAACATAGTTATTAACAAAATAGCAATTAATTATAAATGATATGTCTGTTTCTTATGGCTGCAAGTCTGAAGATATCTGAATTATCCTCACTTATGTTGTCGGTGACATCTTTTTATGAGTCACATGATGAGAAAACATGATGTTTTTAGAGGAGAAAAGCCATCAAAGCATGGTGAACCTATCCAGTAGATGAGGAGTCCCCAACTCTTTTTGTTCATTTAATTTCATGTAAGAAAATATTCTTAAAACACAACAACATGAGATAGTCAATATTGAACTAGGAACAAAGAACATAAAAGTAAAGCTCGACCCAACACTGAAGCTACATCTTAATTCAGAAAGATTTTTGGCTCAATCACCTGTGATTAATAACCTGCATTGTAAGTAGGGCTGTGAAGGTTTCCTGTGGTGGCCTTTAACCAGTTTTAAAAAGGCTCTCCAAAAACATTTATTTTGACATGTCAAGAAACATTTCCAATTAGAATTTTGGAGCTAATATTTTTTAAATAAAATATATTCTTATCAAAAAGCAAATAACAGGTTCTTTTGTCCCTCTGTGGTTTGAAGCCTTGGATCAACTGCTGTACGACAGCGTTAATGAATGTCTTTGGTTTCTACTAGATTAGTGGTTTCAACCTCAACCAACCTCAGTAATGTAGCTGTACCAGTGCTGCTAAACACAGTGGTTTGGGCTGTCAAGGGAGCAGTGATTGATTTGTGGCCGGTTCCAGTTGGGTTTTGACTGTCCTGGCCTGGGGAAACTTTTCAGGGAATTTTAAGTGTAACCAAATTGTAGGGCCCACTGAATATAAAACTGAGTTCATTAACTTGTATTTTATTGATGTATTTATGCAGTTATTTTTTTATATGATTTTTTATTATATAATTTATTTTTCAGAAATACCACACACCCAAATTCTTATTTTCTTCTAAATGTAAAATGTCAAAGTGAATTTATCATTCTAGTGAAGACCTGAATGTGAGACGTTCAACGCTTCAGGTTTAATGCATTTTTACGTTAACTTACTTTTAAAAACATGTGACTTTTGCCACCACTGCAGTAGAATGAGTGGTTGGATAGAAACTTTTAGCAGGTCTCTTCTCAGTCTCCTGACAAACTCTCCTGGAAACTCATTTCCAGTGTTACTGCAGTGTCTTCAAATTTGGAATGTTAATGCTTTCCTCTTGACAGAGGGGTCTCAGTAATCACTTATATCATATCTCGTTAAAGAACAAAAAAGAAAAAGTTCTACATTCTGTACGGTTTGCTCAGTCAACCTTTCCCCCACTAGCATTTCACGCTCTGTTTTCTGCTGTGTTGCATCATGTTGGGAATTGCTGCAAAGAGCTGCTTTTGATGTTTCTAGTTAAAATGTCACAGAGTTGTCGTCATGTAAAAATTGGACGCTCACAATTTGTACCCATTTAAGTGCTGCCATTTCGAACAAGACCTTATTTCACATTTTCAGAAAAATACAACTTTTGTTAGACTATTGTCTCTGTTAGACTTGCAATCTAAAAGTTTACATTTTATCAAACTTTTAAATCTCTGTTAGACTTGCAGTCTAAAAGTTTACATTTTATCAAACTTTTAGATATGTATAGTATGTATAATAGTTACATTATTTGTGCAGCCATCGGCCATTTAATTAACAAATGTAATCAACAAATAGGGAATGTTTGTGGTATCCCATCATGTGCTGTGGCCATGAGAGAGGTGTGCTATGGAAAATTATCCAATTTCACATAATCGCTACAAAAATTATTTATTTATTGCAAATATTTTTTCTTTGTCAATGCGTGACAGGTAGAACAATTAAATATTCTTCCGCTAGGTGGCAGCAGATGGCTATGAGAACAAGGAAAGAGAATCAGAACTGTTTGAAGATTGTTTGAGTGTCTTTCTTCAATTCCAGCGTTGTCTTCAACTGAATAGGCTGAGATTTTAGTTAATTGTGAGTAAATCTAAGGTAAAGGAGTATTATATTTTGTTACATGCAGGTTGTGTGTGAATTCTTTTGGTTGTGTGCCATGGGGTTTTTTCCGAATACGAAATATGTGCTGTGGCTTAAAAAAGGTTGTGAAACACTGGCCTAAATGTTACCTCTGAAGAATGTCCTGATCACATGCAACAAAATGGAAAAACAAACAAATGACTGCTGAGCCCCTTAAAAATGACTGGAGGACTAAAGCTTTGAAATGCCAACACAGAGCATAGCAACATCAGCATCTTTGTAATCACGATTACAGCAACAAATCTTCAGCCAAAACATTCATCTACACTAAGCCTCACTTTACTTAAGCAACTTCCCAAAGTAGCAGGCGACAAATTTATGACAGTCTGACGTGGCTGTCTGAAAAGCATTTAGCTGTCTTGCCCCAAAAAAGGCTGATAAAAATATCATTGAATGTCCTTGGGTGTTTCATTTTTGTGCTGTAGCAGTGATCCACTCAGCGGCTCATTAGAGTTGAAGTGACACTAAAAATATATAAAAAAAAAAAACAGTGACTCTTTAAACTGAGGAATAAAAAAATGAATCCTCCTTGGTGCAGGTAATGAATATTTGGCAGACCGACGTGAATCGACAGTAACAAGAAAATTGAGCGTTTAAATTGCAAATAAGATTTGGTGTGTCTCTGTGTTTTTGTTTTCAGGAGGACATGAATTTGAATGAAGAGAAAAAGACTCCTTTAAGGGAAAAGGATCTCAACAAAAAGAGGGAAATGGTCATCCAGTATATTTTTACTGCCTCTAAAACGGTGAGTTATTCCTTATTTCATTTTTCTATTTTGAACACATTTCTATTGTAATGTGTAGTATCATTAAATATTAACTATAATCTAATGTGACAGGTGGGGGATGGATTCTTTTTTAGGAGAGTAGAGCACTTGCTTTCTTTTTTAAAATTGGCACTATACCTGATAAAGCAGTGTTTTATAATATATGGACAGTAAATTGTGTTGGCTATATCCAGACATTAGTTGCCCTGGAGCTTTTCATTAGTCGCTATCTCAGAGACCAGCTTGTTTTTGTGCCTGCATTTGTTTACTCTCATGATAAAGCAGTGTGGCAAATGTCCAAAAGACAACAAATTATAGTACACCAAACACAACCTTTTTATTAAATGCCTTCATATGATGTGATAACTTGAATATTCACAGACTGTTGAAACAAGGTGATATGAATGCTAGAAGTGTTCCTTTTTTTTTTTCTTGATCCTGCTCATATTAATCCAGTGCTGTTCTTGAGGTGTTAAAGCCTTGCATCTAATTTTATTTAATCTTCTTAAATCACTTTTGCTGATAATTTAATAAAATGTTCTTGCAGATTAACAGAGAAACATGATCTGTTTAGCTCACCAAGGAGCTTGGTGAGGTCCTCAGCATACAATATGCTCATTTGGTTTTAATTTTTAGTGGTCTAGGTATGCAGATTCCAGATCCACCAGGTGGGGGCTTAAATAGAGTTTCGTAAGAGTGCAGAGCGTGGATGAAAAACAAAGCAGGATAAACAGATAAACAGTTATTCTGTAAGAATAAAAAAATAAATGTAGTTGAGAAATGGGGATCACAACACATTTTTTAGAGCTGACCCTTTAGCTGTCAGTTCTGTTCCTTTTATTTTTTTTTTTTTTTTTTCTTTTTTTTGATTAGATCAGTATATGTAGTGTGATTGATAATGTAGGGTAGTTTATTAAATTAAACCAGGTGTTTATTGTCAAAAGCTCAGTATTTAGAATTTGTTCAAGCACAAGATTCTTGTCAGCAAAAAAAAACAGGTTAGTGTTGTCAGCAAAAAACACTTGATGAAGAATAAACAAAGGGGGCCCTGAAATGGAACCCTGTTCCCTGTAGAGAGTTATCCGTTTTGACTGGTTTTATTACACGTGACAGTCATCTCGGGATTGAGTCTGTCATCTTCTCTTGTCAAAGTGTCAAATGCAGTATCAATGTCAGTGCAGTTGTAAACTCCATTCCATTCCCGGGCCTCTAGTTCCCTTCATTTATTATTTGAATTTTTTTTTTTTTTTGGCTCGGGGAGTGGGAGGCCTAGCAGAATGGGCAAGAAAAAAACAACGCGATGATCATAATTTTCTGTCTCATATCGATATTTGATCGTTCAATTCTAATGGCTTTGCCATTCAATCAATCACTTTGTTTAAACAAGTATGACAGTATTACAGGTCATTTACCAGGTGATTATATCCCTTGCCATATTCGATGTTTTGTGATATACTGTATGAGCCAAAAATGTCGACCACAGCAAAAAGGGACTTTTTTACTAAAACTACAACTACATTATTCAGACTTAGAAATATACACAGGAAAGAGTTGCCGCTAACTAAATTGAAGAATCTTTAGCGGACATCTGTCATATGTCACAAAAATGTATCAAGCTAAAATGTAGATTACTAGCAAAGAAATTAAAATCGAGTCTCTGTTCTTACTCACAGACACTGGTTGCGTGTTTTTTTTCAAGTTTATTTGTAATGGCCACCGCTTTTGTTTTCAGTAATAAGAGAGAATTTAGTGATGACAGAGACAAAACTTATGTTAAAAGGGAATTATTTAAAGTGTTTCCTTTATTTTTTCTTTTATTTTTTTTTTATCTGAAGAACTTTGATTCCTTTTTTATGTTCAGTATCTCCCCTTTTTTTTTTTTTACAAGAAATAAAAACAAAATCCTTTTTATGTTCAGTGTCTCCCTTTTTTTTTACAAGAAATAAAAACAAAAACGGAACAAAAAGGACACTAAAAAGCCTCAACCAACGCAGCAACACATTTAATGGCAGAGATGGCCACAGCCTTACAAAAAAGTTTTTTATTTTTCCAGGTTTTGCTGTTGTTTCTTTCAATCTGTTTTGACCACAAACATTTGACTTTCCATCTGTGTAAATAAATTAATCGTATTACAATGAATCAGTTCATCTGTGTCAAAGTAATCACTTTTGTATTACCGCTGACAACAACTTTGTTCCCTTCTACTATTTCCCAGGGCCCTTTGAGGAGCAGCCATCAGATTTCCCCCCAGGAATTTCTTGGAGAGCTGAAGTCGGGGGCAATGGATGAGCGTCTGTTCAGCTGTTTAGATTCACTGCGTGTGTCTCTGACCAGCAACCCTGTCAGGTACAGTAAACCTATTTAAACAGTTACTTGAGGACAGTTTTCTTTATTCTATTACTCGGAAAGACTCTGATCTACTAAATATTCATGTCTTTTTTTTGCAGTGTGAAAAAAGAACCAAACATAAATTTTAGAAGACATTTACAAAAAGCAAGTTGCAAAAAAAGAAATTGACTGCCATTTACATGAGCCTCAGAGACTAATCTTTAAGAAAAGAAACTCCTCTCGAAGGATTTGATAATAGTTGAAGCAAATATATCATCCAAAAGAAAACAGAGAGTGTGGTGTTCAAACCAATAAATACATGCCCTTGTTTGTTTCTTTTTGTATGCTGTAAGTACCCAGAAGCGAGAATGTTGTTGATGAGTTACTATTTACTGCAGTGTCTCTGGGGAAGATTGTAGCTGAATTATTTTAAACTGACATGTTTTTCCTGTGTATTTTACCGTTGCTTTTATACCCAGTTCTCTTTAACGCTTTAAGAGGCCCTTCATTTGTTATCTACCTGATTTATTTCTACTCATTTTTATAGAAAAAATGAATGGGGAGCAAATTCCTCTAAATCCCCCTGTAAATGGAACCCTATTAAACACCGATATGCTGTCATAACACCCCTCGTCTGTCCCACTTGCCACCACATTACCTTTTCGCACCTCAATTAAACCAGATCTGTTGCCTCGTTTATACTGGGGCAAAATGGTTGTGTGCACACTGTGACCATCACCACTGTGACTGGTGCAGAATAATAAAAATCCAATTAGTGCTTCATTAACAAGCTCTACTGTTTTAGTAAGGAATCATGGTGTGTCGTTAGATGGTCGTTGCATCGAAAAAACAGGTTTATATGTTACCCAAAACCCAACCCTGAAACAGAATGTGGATCAGCCAACTATGCTGTGTAAAACCATTGCCAGTATCACTGTATGAGGTGATGTGTGAGGTGTAAAAAAATGGTTTTGTAATGTGAAAATGTTTTTTTGTTCATGTCTAGTTAAAATAAAATAATAAGAAAATGTTTTTTTATTCATGTCTAGTTAAAATAAAATAATAAAAATTTTATATTATATTTTTTTTTATTTAACAATCAGACATGTCCACTCAGGTATTGTTTAGCTTTTTTAAAAAAACAAGCAAACTACCAAAACAAAATTGTTGTGCTTAAAAAAAAAAACCAAGATGACATGCTTGTTTATATGTGACATGTGACAAGTTGTGACAGTAAATGAATACCTGGTGAAGTAACAGTAGCACCAGTGCAATAAAAACAACTTTGTCAATTTGCTGATTTTGTACTTACTTTCATTTGGGTGCCACTTGTATTTTGTTTTTGTCAATTTTTTTTTTTTACTTTTACAGTTTTTTTTGTAGAAACCCTCATTTAATTTCTTGCTGGTAGTTGCGAATACCTGTTAGTTGCATTCTGCTCATGCGAGCCGATGCGTTTATCTGCTTCATCATCAGACTGCATCTGGTGGAACAGACAAACTTGAAGGTAATTTGATACCTGCCGGCATTGTCGTCCTGTGTCTCCCGCCGTCGACCCCTGTATTCTTTACCCGCCTCCACTTTCTCAGCTCTGTCTTCCTTTTTGTGGAAAGGCCATGGTACTAGCCCGAAGGTGCGGCAAGGCTACAGGATGTAATTGTATTAAATGGATTTGATAAATGGATCTGACAAACAAGTGTAAATTGGTTTTTGATATTGTATTAAAAGTGACCTTCAGGTTTAAGGCCCTGAATTTATTTTATTTAGTCCAGCGACAGAGTGGGTTAAAGTTTAGCATTTCTCTTCCCCACCACTGAGCATTACAATTTTTCTGCTCATTCCTATCAGATGCCATGGCCACCAGTGAAGTGCGCACGTACAACAATACATTCAATTCCTACTTTCTAAAAATATGTGAATCATCTTGTGGTGTTGCAATATTATTGCATTATAATTGAGTCATCACCTACCCATGAACTTCATTTCAGGGTATTTTGGAGATTTCTTTTCCAATGGAGAGTTTTTCGATTCATTTTAATTGTCCAGCAGTATTGCTCCCATTGGTTTTGAAGTCCCATTTACATGATTTCTTTTTAATTATAATCTTTATAGACCAGAAGAGGGAGATAATTCGGTTGCTCATTTATATATTTATACTTTACCTTCTCCTGCAGCCTGTAGCCTCTCTATTTTGCTGATTCTAGGCATTTGAGTCTGACCTAAAAACACTTCATATTCTAAAACACTCAGCAGATGAACAGTGGTGTTTTGCTTTGCTTTGCATAATTTTGCCATTTTTTTTTTTTGGTTTTCACTTCAGAGCAACGTTTGTCCATTTTGAGTTTCCACGAGTTCACTCTTTAGTCTGCCCTTTCACTCTTTGCTCACATGTGTGGGGTAATGCAGACACCTAACCACTGCAGAGTAGGGCTTGTAGAAAAGATGTTGGAAAAAAAAAAAAAGAGAAATTGAAATGCACTGCAGACCCTAACACTAAATGAAAGTAAAACAAATGCAGCCAAAAAGAATGGAGGGAAAACACTGGGCCTGTTTAATTTATGAGTGTCTGAAATATTAGTGAAGTTAGTTCGTGCAGATCAGTAATTGAACATTTTTTCAAGCCGGAGATAGTGGATCCCTGTGCGCTTTTAATCTTTGTCTTTTAGGCAGCATAAAAGAAACAAAAAATTGAATCAGTATGCCTAAGTGTAGACTCCAAAATATTTTGAAATAATTTATAAACTTTCTGTTTAACTTTTACGTTGCTGCTATATTTTAAAGTTTCTCCAAATGGGATTTCTCTATTTTTATTTTCCATGTCCCACTTTACTCTGAGTCTGAGTCTATTGCTGCTTTCCGTCTCCAGAGAGCTCTGCTGTAGTCAGTTAACTTACTATGTTCGGGACAGCGTTTTGAAAATATAAATTTATTTCTGGTTCATAACCAGTTTTGTAGTGTGTAACACTGTGCAGTACTGCCTGGGAACCCAGGAGTTTTTCTCCTGAGACTCTGTTATAAGTCAAGCTGCCTCAGCTGTGAAGTTAGCCGGATGAGGTACCTCATATTTCTCCATGATTTATGACTGTTTTTGTTTCGTGGGGATGGAATGATAATTTTTCCTCTATTCGTTTTAAAAATTTGCTATTTGCTATTTCACCACGTGTTATTGTCAAAACATTGTTTTTGCTGCTTTTGCATTTGTCAGTTGCCAGTTAATTTGTTCCAGCCCCCCCAGAAATATACTATTGATTAATTAATTAAATAAAATCCCCACATCTAAACATCAATAACATGGATATAAACAAATATATTGATAATATGAAAATATAATATAATATATGAAAATAATAATGTGAATAATAATAATTGCTAAACATTTTTATATTATTGGTATAGAAATGGGTAAAATAACCAAGCAAGGGACAGTGAGCAAGACAATGTGGCGGAGTGTAGGAGAAGGACTGGGAGTGAGGACTGATTTAGGTGATAGAAAGAGAGAGAGAGAAAGGAAAAGAGAAAAACACAAAGAAAGCGAGTGTCGGGACCACTAAGCATAGAAGGATTATATATTATTATTATTATTAAACATCAAAAGTCAAATATATATATATATATATGTATGTATATATATATATATATATATATATCATATATGTACACACACTGCTCCCTCCACTGTTCACATTGGTGATGGGTTAAAAACAGAGGTCACATTTCGTTGTGTCCAGTATAGATGTACGTTTATGTGTGTGTGTATTTTTGTATGTAAACATATATGCATGTGTGTGTATATCTCTATAGTGTGTCTTATACTCAAATCTTAGGTTCATCACAATAATGCATACAACTGCCATTTAATTCAACTTCTAAATAAGGGAATACTTTAGCCTGACTTGCTATTAGTTGGGACATTAGTCTCACTGCCAGCCTTAAACATGCAAGTTTAAAAACATGTGTAGGACAATATATATATATATATTAGGAAAATACGAAAAAAATGTCTAATCAACTAATAATTTATAACACCTTCAGTGTTTCTCCACTGTTAAATAACTCTGGTCCGTACCTAAATTCTGCAATACCTTGAAGGAGTCCAACACCTGACTCTCTTCCGTTGTACGCCTTGCACGCCCAAAGCCAAGTATCTAACATTAGGACACGTACCTGTCAGACAGCAATCTGTGCTTGAATTTATTTATTATGATGAGAAGCTGGGGAAAAGTGCATTTAGATCATTTTCACACAACACAGCGCCAAACAGTGAAGACAGTCAGGCAGAGAATGTGATTGAAGTTTTTCATTTTGGATTCAGTGGGGGTGCCAGATGTTTGGATCTAATGAAACTCGAAGGTTGCCAGAGCATGCAAGATTAGCAAACAGAATTTAAAACGCTTTAATCATTTCAGAGTGAGGAGCAGAGTGTAGCATGTAAAGTACAAATCAGGAGTCCAGGGCTAACAAGATACTTCTCCATGTGTTATAACTACAGACTATTCTCTGAAAGATGTAACTGAATAATACATTTACAAAAACGTACATTTTTTTCCAGTGACTGAAGAGACTTTTAACAGTACTGTCACAGGGAAATGTTTTAAAACACGTAACGCCTCTAAAAACTATATATTTACAAGGACAGGGAACAATAAAGCTCATAGTTTACGGCATTAAGAAAAACAAACTTGTATCAGAGCTGGGCTTGACGTAGTGGGTGCTGCCTCCAGACGACTGTATGTCACCTGCCTTATCCCGTCATCATCTGACCTTGAAATGAAAGAAAAACACATTCCTTGGATATTTTACTGCTTCATCCGGAATTTCCTTCCACATGAAGATGGAATTCTGTCCATGGGATGTAAGATTGTCCTTTCTCTGGCCCCCGCAATCTCTTAAAAACCAGATCCTTTACCTGGACACTTTGAACGTAGCAATATGTCACTTTTCATTCATGTGTTTCAAGGCAGATATCTCACAGACTGCGATAGTGCGGGTTTGTCAGTTTCCTGTGGAATAATTTCTGCTACAGATCAACTGATTATTTTCCCTTGCCTGCTGCCTCACCTACTGATGATGAAAAAGTACCATGCAGTTGCCACTGAGCAACCGCATGCATTTCAATGAAGCTCTTGTCAAGACCCTCTCCCCTTCTCCCCTCTTCCTACTCTATAACCAGAACGGTGTGGGCCATGGCTCAGTGTGAAGTGCTAGCTAAATGGATTTTTTTTTTCTTCTTCTTTAGCAGAAGAACCATTTCTTTGATACCTTTGCAGTAGTCTTGCCTGTCTTCCTCCAAATGGTATATATTTTTTTCTCTTTATGCTGTAAATCACACGCACACATATTCAGCTGGAGAACTGCTGCATTTTCTCCTCTCCTTTTTGTCAGTTAAAGATTCTTGAAAAGAACATTGTGTGCAGTGTCCTAAAGAAGTGAATAAAATGTAGAGCTGAGGACTGGATTGGAGTAGGACGTCACACTGCTTACAATAATTTAAAGCCTGTAACATCAGTTTTTTTTAATTTTTATTTTAAAATGATCAAACAGGTATTCTGTCCCTTGGATTCTATTAATCAATACATTACATAAATATGAAATTAGTCAAAGTGCATATGTGCTAATTATTTTCATATATAAACGAAACTATGGTGCGAAATGCACACCATGTGACCTTGTGTAACCTTAGTAGTTTGAAACGGTAAATAATCTTTTTTTTTTTCACATTCTATTTTTAGTAACTAAAAAGTTAACTACAATTAATTGAGTGAGACCACTCCTAATTTTTCACATCTAAAGTTTTAAGAATATCTGTTTTATACTACACAATACTCACTCAATTCACTTTAACTCTACTACCTATGTTGTAACCCTCGCCCTCGATAGTTACTACGGACATGGCTTCAGCTCCCTTCCAAACCTGTAAAATTATTTATAGGGTAAGAAGGTAAATTAAGGTATTTGTAACTGTTGATAGCTAATGTTGACCAAAGCGGCAGTGTTGTGCAGTGTCTAACTCTCTACATTTACAGCAAGAGAAAGGGATCAAATAAACTCTCTATCAACTATAGTTTTTGGTTTTTTTTCCAAAATGCAATCAGTAAATTTTAAAATCAGTCTTAACAACAAGACTCATATTTTTGTCTGTTTGTTTTTAACGTGCCTTTTAAAGGAAAACTTAGTCTGATGCATTTGTGACCGACAAAAATATCACGCCACTACTTTAATCAGAAGCCGGATCGTTTAAGATCGATATTGAGCTCCTCATGTGTAGAACTTGTTCAACATCAACTTCTGAAGCAGCAGCCAAATTGGATCCCTTTATAGACTGTTTAATTGAACAGTGCGAACCTGCATCACCTCTGTTGGAGAGCAATAGCACATAAATGTCAACTACTGGAATAGCATTCAAGAGACTCTCATTAAGCCAGAGCCTTTTTTTTCTAACCTTTGTCTTCAGCTTTTCCCCAGCACACTGATGAATTCTACATGTTTTCCTGTCTTTTCCACATTGTCTTCAAGTCACTGACATGAAAAGGCTTTATTGCTGTTTGTCAATCTCGGTCCCATCTGATACCTAATGGATTTGTGTTTTGTTTTGTTTTGTTTTTTTTCCTCCAGTTGGGTGCAGAGTTTCGGACATGAAGGCCTTGGACTTCTGCTTGATGTTTTAGAAAGGTTGCTCTTCAAAAAGGAGTGAGTTACATTTTTTATTAGACTCCATCCAAACTCAAAAAAGTGAAAGTCACTGATTTATAAAATATACAGTATTACCTGATAAGTTGCAAAAGAAATATGCAAGATGGTGTTGTTTGTGCTCTAAAGATAGACACAGTTAAAAAAGCCCCAGTCCATAGACCTCCAGTTAATAATCGCCTGCCAGAGTCGGACAGGCCTACGGCTGCACTGGGAGCAATTTGCTGTGTAGTTTGGCTACTGTAAATAAAAGATCAGCTCCAACTCTTCTTGTGGAAGTCAATCAATAGTTGGAATAAGTCTCCTGCTTACTGCCCACTGTAGGTCTGTACATTCCCACTATACTCACATGCTGTATTGTGAAAAATATTAAAAACGTTTTTACATTAGCTCTATCACACCTTTTCGTAGACACATTAAAATATTAAGAATATACATTTTATTTACTTTTAAGTTAATTATACGTTGACAGGGTTCTTACGTATTCTGAGAAACCCGGAACATGAATGACTAATTTTCCAGTCATGGAAAACACATGGTAAATGAGAAAAAAGGAACCCATTAAATTATCACAGAAAATGATTTATCCTCCTCATGCCTTGTGAGTGAATGCAACTGGTTAAAAGTTAGCTAGACATACAGATTGTTAGATAAATAGACAGACGGACAGATAGAACTTTATTAAACACTCGGGAGTTCCGTTCGGCAAAAGTCCTGGAAAATAATTTCAGGGGAAGAGTGGGATCCCTGTTTGTACAATTAAAAATGAACCTTACTGCCTGTGAAGATCACACAAAGCTATAGAGAAAAAAAACCCTGACATAGGATCACACAAAGCTATAGAGAAAAAAAAAATTCTACATATACAATTATGCATACCTATACAGATATATACACGTCATCATTTCTTAACACCATTAGACATTTTCAATATCTTAGGCGATTGGAGAGTAATTTATTCATAAATTAAAGATTTGTTTCATTAAGTGTGGCATTAGCCATATCCCTGGAAGCCGTCACAGGTGGGGAGGCCTCTTTGTCACAGCGGAACAAGTCGGACAGCCAGAAATGGCTCCAAACCAAGTTAGGTGACCCAGATGCTCTGCTCTAAATGAACAGACAAATGACTGCTTCTTCTGCAGTTTAATAAGCTTCTGCTTCCCCACATCTGCTTTGAGCACGTGGCAGAGAGAGACCTTGGCTCTTCAAGCGCCCCGTCTGTCGATCAGGTGTTGATGAAAAACGTACAGAGAAATGTGCGCAATCATCCACTTTCATCGGGTTGACACTCTTCACCTTCCATCAGCTGTTGACATGTCTCATTTGTTAGAAATGCACCGTGGACTCGTTTGAAGGCTGTTGTCGCTGTATAACCTCTCCTGTTTCCTCAGACAAGAGAAGATTGACAAGAAGAACCAACATAAAGTTGTCCAGTGTCTCAAAGCATTCATGAACAATAAGGTACGATGTGACCACCTCATATACGGTAAATGAATGCATTTGATGACCCACTCGAAAAACAGTCAAATTATTAAGTTAAATGAATTACTAATTAAGCTACTAATTTGAGATTTTTAGTCCCAAGGTAAGTCTGAAATCTGAACTGAGACATTTGTCCTTTTTTTTTTTTTTTTTACCGTTGATTGTAAAACACATCATGTTCCAAAATTACCACATCAATTTTATTTACCCTTTGGTTAAAAAAGGCTTAATTAACTTAATGTGCTTTGAGTCTAATCTCCCAGGGTATCTTTAATCCAGTTCACATCATAATCATCTGGTGTGTTCATTTAATTACTAAATTAGGGTCATGACCGGTGGAGAAAAATGGGTGTATCATTGGAGCGTGACGGCAGATGAGTGTTAAAGAAACAGATTTAGTAAATAATAGACTACATTTGGTGGTCACAACCAAAGTGCACAGACATGGTCACTGTATACGAGGGAAAGAAAGTGATGCGGGCGCCACATGTTTCAACAAAGTTTAGTTAGTATACCTTAGTTGGTTAAACCGCTAGCCATAATACGGTTGTATTCAGAACCAAATGTCCCTTTTATCTAAAACTAAACAAGTTAATAGAATTTACACTTTGACAGAAATTAAAATAACTACTCGAATAAAACTAGACAATTTCCCTGCAAAGAATTCAAAACAAATATACCAGGAGGGTTAAAAAAAACTTTTTTATGTAGACAAAAAGACCAGAGGCGGATGAAGGACCACTCGAATTCAAATGTTAATATACATATGCAAAAGTGTACTGCTTAGTAAACAAAAGGTTGTCAGGAGTCAATTATTGGGTCAAAATGTATTTTAAACTATTCCCTGTCTGCCATCACATGAGTCAGGACTTTATTTTTCTTTGAATTTCTTTAAATTAATGCTTTTTTTATTATGGCAAAGATGGCAAAAAAAAATCACATACAAAGACAATATTATGATCAAACTTTCTAGTCCAGTCCAAGACTGGAGTTATTGCCCACGGAGGCATTCATTTGGATATCCTAAAGTATCCTCACTCTATATTCTTGGGTTTTTCTTGCTTTGTTGTTGTTAAATCAAATTAGTAACAAAAGAGATAAGAAACATCTCAGCAGATGGGCAGTAAAACCCATCAATGTCCATAACACAACCACTCATGCTCTGGAAAGCACAGGGTCTCATGTAATCCTGTGTCTCAGTGGGCTTCAGACACCAGCATTTACCCCTAGGCTGCTCTCTTAGCCCAGACCTTTCTCTGGCTGGAGAGGTATCTTGGGATGTGATGAATCCACAGTGCCAAGAAGACAGGTGTTCTCTACCAGCTGTCTTGCAGCCATTTCCTTTTTTCTGTTCCTTTTGTACATCAAAGAACACTTGAAATGTCAGTAGTGTCCCTTCTCAAAGTTGTCCTTCTGTAAGTCTATCAACCAATCATTGATTCATGAATCTTTCTTCAGGGTTGCCCCGGAAGTGGTGTACGTAGTGTGACCAAGTCGTCTTAAATGACTTGGTCTAGTGACTTTAAAGCTTCTGTTTGCATCTTTTACTGGGGAGTTGAAAATAATAAATATTTACGGTCCCATTACAGTTTTTTTTTGGTACTGAAATTCACCCAATCCATTACAGTACTGAAATTCCTTTTTTTTGCTTTTTTTTTGGTACTGAAATTCACCCAATGAGCATATTTATATTGTTTAATTACACACATGAATCCTAAAATTTGGGATTAGATTAGATTTTTTTTTTCATATTTCTCAGTGGCACAATAAATGTGTTTGATCCAAATCTTAGAATTAAAGATCAGCAGTTACTTAACAAGCTTAAAGAATCTCTTTCAAATTTGATTTTATCAATTAAAAATGATTATATATTTGAATTAATTATTTTTTTATGTTTGGGTACACAGTATGGCCTGGATCGAATCCTGGAAGAAGAGAAATGTCTTTCTTTATTGGCCAAAGCCATCGACCCCACCCAGCCTTCCATGATGATGGATGTGGTGAAGCTGCTGTCGGCCATTTGCATCGTTGGCGAAGAGAACACGTATGTTCTGGAATGAACCTAAACCTTTTTTTTTTAATTATCTGACGGTTAGGCTTTTACTATAACATGACTTATCTGATAAAATGAATGAATGTGTGTTTTTAGGAAAAGCCCCAGGGAGTTATATGTTTGTTTTGTTTTTCACTTTTTCAGAACAATCTTGTTTGTTTTTTTTTGTAATTATGTTTTGTTTTGCTTCTCTTTCACTTTCTTCCTCTTCTTTTTTTAATATGCTGGTTTTGTCCAATTGATAGCTTTAATTATTTTACCATTTTACAGCCGGAAAGCAGCAAAAAAATCCTAAATAGGTTTTATTTTTTGTATTTTCTGGGTTTGCTTATTAAACATTACCATTGTAGAAATTGCTATTATTTTAATCCCAGTTCAGTTAATCCATAGACATGGATTCACATTTTCTGTTTTACATAGACATTTGCACACGTACAAAAAAAAAAAAAAATAACCTGAACAATTAATTTTCAGTTAAATCTTATTATAAAATCTATTTGTTATTGTCATTAGTTTAGAAAAGGTCCTGGAAGCCATTACAGAAGCTGGAGAATGGAAAACAACTGAGAGGTTTGCCCCCATCGTCAAAGGACTCCGTGATCGTTCAGTTCAGTTGCAGGTACTGTCACACTTTAAAATGGTTATTTACCCACCCAGGTGGTAAATCTGAACATTCTCATGGCATAAAATGCTTAGATGGCGTAGGGTAACAGAGGCTGAGGACCTTTCTGATAACATTTGACATATTTGGATTACACGAATGCGCAAACGTTTTACGGTTTAAACTATTGTGATCATGAATGAATTTGATTTCTTAAATAGAGCCGTTAAAGCACAAATGAATGAGTAACGAGTAGAACCATGGTAGGTACAAATATTAGCAATGTCATAGGGCTTGGTCATACCGCAGTATTTTAATTTTTTTTTTTTTTTTTTTCTGGGTGCTATGTAGCACGGGGAAATCAGTCGAATAGTTGATTTTGCGTTAAATGGCAATACATTCTACTCTCATCTATACCTAGTGACAAGCGTTGCCTCACCGGTGATGACGCTTTGTATTGCCATTATATTTGTTTGATTTCATGTGTACTACACATGCTGACGGTCCACAGTTTCATATATTAGGCAGTTAATTTGTTATATTTTTTACATTTTGATGTGGTGCAGACTGACCTCTGTTTATGAAGGTGTCTGTGTTTAACTTATAACAGGGAGTTTGATTTTTAGAAAAAAAATAACAATATATATAGACTATCGCCATTTAGTTAAAAAAAAAAATTGAGATATTACATTTGGTCCATATTGCCCAGCTCAACAATGTAGATCGTTTTAAATTCTCTACCCAAGGCCACCAAACTCAATTAAATGATAATATCCTTTTTGGCCCTTCTTGTGTTGTGTGGCATTAGCATTCTATTCCCATGAACTACCTTTGAGATAAGGTTCAAACAAGTGAGGATGTACTAAAGAAAGGACAGCAAGTTAAACAAAATTCCAATATTGGGCTGAGAAACAGACTAAAATAAATAAAAGGACAACCAGGATTAAAGTTTGCATTGGGAACTGAAGTTATCTAATGCATAACTGTTACTATATTGACACTGTCCTGTGTATTGGATGGTTTATAGACTTTATTTTTTTTAATGCTTTGAAAAAAAAAAAAAGAAAAAAAAAAAAGAAGTTCTATTTCTCTGCACAGATCCTTGTAGACCCAGTGTATTGTTATAGCTAAAAGATGGTTTGATATCCAAACTAAGGCAGCAGCACTGTGTGGCCCAGAGGCTTTCTCTTAGTAGTCTTCTCCTCGACTACATTTACACACTGTCTCCCATGGCTGTGTTTTGCCGTGGGAAAATGTAAACTGAGGCCTGTGAGACCGCATTCAAAGATGTTTGTATTTTCATTTTTAAAAGCCCTTTAATTGTTTCTGAATTTATAATAAACCTCAGTTTCATTGAATCATTTCTGGATGTTGCATGCACATACGGTGTGTGTTCAGACCTAATGCGATTTATCTGTTGGGTGCATACAAAAAATGTATTTGCAGATGCTAGGAGATAATTTACAAAATGTACCATTTTACCCTATTCAAGGTCCTTATCGCAGCAAACTGTACGCTAGGCTCATGTCAAGGCAAGTGCCACCAACTGGCATTACAATAATAAAATGGCACTTATGCGAGACATGACAGGTAGCTGTGCAAAAGATTGAAAGGGGGGGGGGAGAGGTGCTGTCAAAATAAAAACGAACCTTAAAATTATCCTTGCCGAGCTGCAAATGCCAGACCCTGTTTTCACACTTGAGTGGACTGCATTTATGATCAGTAATTGATTTTCCCAACTATGTTTGCCTGGTCATTCAAAAAGCCAGGACGCAGTTGTGGCTCGGCAGTGAGTGCAACTCAAATGGGAATGAAAAGAACGCTTCCAAAAGAGCAAGTTTGCCCTTAAATTAACTGTTAGTTAACACTGTGTGTGCATGTCTGCTCTCTGCAGTTGTTGCATTAATATTGAAAACATCCCCGCACCCCCAGTTGGTGACTGAAGAAAATAGACATGCATTAGTTATGGTCCTCTGCTTCCGAGGGACATTACTCATTTAAAATGCATGCCGGAATGCTTTTCCATCAACTTCTGCAAAAAAGTCTTGTCATCTTTTCCTCTGCTCTCTATTCCCCCCTCCCCCCATATTCTTCTTGCAGGTAGCGTGCATGCAGCTCATCAACGCACTAGTTACATCTCCTGATGAGCTGGACTTCAGGCTACACATAAGAAATGAATTTATGCGCTGCGGCCTGAAAGAGATACTGCCGGTGAGCATAACAAAACACACACACACACACACACACACACACACTCAGGTGTGGTTGCAATATCACGGATGTAAAGACTTATGGAAGAGATTCAAATATGCAATGCACATCTACAAGATATTATTGAATTTGCCGCAGCAAATAATTGTTGAAACGCAGCACAAACCTGTTTTCCATGTCCAATGTCTTACACAGCAATAAACGCTAATACGGTTCTGAGTGCCCGGGTCAGTGGTTGTTTTTCCTAGAGTTAAACCATCTGAAGTGTGATCGTCATTTGTTAAATCATTTCCGCAACACAGATAACAAACACACTTTAAATTGAGACTAAATGCTAAATTACCCGTACATTGTATTCAAAAGTGCCTATAACTTTTTTTTTTTAACCTCATTTTCAAACAGCATTTAATCTGGCACAGTAGCAGGCGTTTGCTTTTTTTTACACGTTACAATTGCAGCTGCGGGTGAAGGACATGTCAATTCTACTGATTGTGGTATAATTTCCATGTTGCATGACATCGGGGCAGAGCAGCTGGCAGATAATTTGGCAGGCGGCCATTGGATTTGAAAGTTTGTCATTAAGAGTGAGTCAACAACGGCCTGGGCTGAATGAAATCACATCAGCGAGTAGAGCGTGTCCACCTTAATTGTCCTGACAATGGTTTTAAATTTGATACACACAAACAATTACCTTTGGCCTGAATATTTCCCGTCTCTTGCTTGTATCTCTTAATCTCGTAATTTTGGCCCCTTTTGCTTTTCGTCCTTGTACATTTTGCCCTTCTTTTTCAAACTTGTAGCAACTGACGGGGATCAGAAATGAGGCCCTTGACATTCAGCTGAAGGTGTTCATGGAGCACAAAGAAGAAGACATGATCGAGTTCTCTCACAGGCTGGATGACATCAGGAGTGAACTGGAATATCCTTTATGGCTGTGGAAGCAAAAATGAAATGAAATGATCGGTTCCTGTTTAATGTGAATCATACAGGACATAAAGCATCTGCAGTAGCAGAGGTCACTGGTTCTTCAGTGGCTTCAAGATAAATAAAAAAAAAAAAATGAAATCAAAGAGAGAATATACTTTCAACTCTGGAACAGTTTACAATGAAACACTGCTTTAATTTCTCGTATCAGTCCTTGACCCTTAGCACTGATGTGGGTGATGTTTTCAGCATCGTGCAGAATATGGTGAAGGACAGCAATGCTGAACCCTTTTTACTTTCCATACTGCAGCACCTGATGCTTATTCGCAATGACCGTTTTGCCAGGTGAGAATTAGCAGTGCACACATATACACTGCCTTTTGTAGTTTTGAGACCAAGACTATTTTTTTTTTCCCCTCCATGCTCCTCTGCCTACCACTTTAACTCTTCAATCAGATGAGTCACAGAGTGCACACTCTATCCACACTCCACACTCATGGAGTTTGCAGATATTTGACCCTCGGTGCATTTTGCTCAATAGGTTCACAGACATCACAGATGTGTTGCATCCCTTCAGTGCAGACACAAGTCATTCTACTTGGACCTACTTCAGTGCCTTTGAACAGCTTGGGCCTTGGGTATTTTCCCTGAAGTCAAGAACCGTGCTATTAAAGGACCTAAAAGGCCGTTTTGTAGCTGAAATGCCAGAATCAGTGATTACTTTTATGTTGAACGTAGAAAGCAGGCAACACCCGACTGTGTACACAATTTTATCAAAAACAGACAGATGAATCTATGGAAGTGCTCTGCCTGTATATAGTTGTTTTGCTTTATCGTTGTTTACGTATTACAGTGATTATTGCTGTTGTTCCTCAGTAACATAACTACATCCCCGCTGTACAATTTTTTTCATCCTGCCTCTTTAATACAGGAGGTCCTCAGTTTACGACGTCTAGCCATCTCCCTTGAATTTATTAAGAAAGTCTTGTTCCAATATTCTGACATGCGGTGTTAAAACAAACTTAGAACTAGTAATACCTCGTCACACGTTGTATTAAACAAATTTAGAATGGGAACTAGTAATACCTCGTCACACGTTGTTATACGCAAAGGTGTCATTTTTCTTAGGGAACTTTTTGCTCTTAATTGTGGCTTACAAGCGTAAGTCAAGCTCTTCTTATGTTTTTATGTCCTAGATTACGATGTTACCATTGTGTTGGTAAGTAACATAGGTACTTATGTACAGTATGTGAGTTCTGTTGAAAATTAATTCTGGCGTGGCATAGGAATGGAATTCGGACGTACAATATATCAATTACAAAATAATACAAATGACCAATTGACATCAAATATTTTAAATTGTAATATTAAAATCAGACAGTAGTTCATATAGGACTGCGGATGTCTCCCTGACCTCAGATGCACAAAATGCCATTGGACAAACCTGTTGCTCTCTCACCACCAATGATCAGACTCACAGAAAGATTTTGACATAAAGTTATGGTTTTATGAGGTGATTGAACCATTTTCTCATTTAAACTGCAAACTTGCATATTGCTTAGTATGCTCTCTGTCGTCGCATTGTCACAGCTGCCGTTTTCATTTTGTAAGTCTAAGTGTTCTATTAATTATCCTTTGTGTAAGTTAGGCACGGCTAGGCACTCATCAACAGCAAAAACAGTGTATAAAGTGTGTCCCATTAATCCCCACTGTCCCCACAATCACCATACTTAGCATAAAACTATGGTTCAGGTTATGCATTAAAAGGCTTTCATGTTTCCCCCGCTGATTATCCAAAGATATAATACGGCCACATTGTGGAAAAAAACTAAAATTCCTAAAGTTATGACACTTCAATCTCTATATTTTATTCTTTACTCTCAATGTGTCCCTGATACTGTCGTAGGTTATAAACAGCAGATTCAATAAGAATGAAATGAAATATTTGTTCATGTAACAAAAATGTAACTTTTCCTGCTGTCTGATTTGAATGTTTTTCTCAGGCCTCAATACTTTAAGATCATTGATGAGTGTGTGTCTCAGATTGTGCTCCACCGCAGTGGCACTGACCCAGACTTCGGTTACAGAAAACGCCTGGATGTGGACCTAACCCACCTTTTAGGTAGGTTATGTGCGCACACACGCACAAACACATTGGTGCAAGTGCACGTATTTTTACCAGTTTTTTTTTTTTTTACCATGTTGTCATACTGTTGTTTTCAGAGGTGTGTGTGGACAGAGCTCGTGGTGAAGAGTTTGAACAGAGAGCTTCTGAACTGGAACAAAAGGTAAGTAATAGTAAAGTTTTCATTTCGGTTTGCGATACACATTTTTCTTGTCAAATGAAACCAATGTGTCCGGAATCATTGAAATAATATCCTGTCATTTTTAGTAGAGCTGTAGTCGAGGTGTCAGAGGTCAGTTTATATTGTTGTAAGGGTTAAACACTATCTGTATCTCTCTCTCTCTTTTTCTCCCACTACGTTTGTTTTTCACCTTTTGTTTTTTCATTACGTTTGTTTTTCACCTTTTGTTTTTTCTCTGTCTGCAATGACAGGCTGCATGAAGAATTCTGCTCACGAAAGCAGTGCAAACAAATGATAATCATTTTTTGTGCCATAGTTGTCTTATAACGGAGAGTGTGTTTTATTTTATATTAATGTGTATATTTTAACTGATTTATAATGCACACACATCTTTACGCTGAGAAATCAGCAGTGGAAAGTGATGATTCTACAGCTTACAGTGCAGTAACTGCTGATGCAGATAATACAATCTTATATTAGCCTGTGTATTCAAATACACTGGTGTAGGTTGGGACAAAAAAGAAATTATCCTCTAAGACCTATGGTGTGCTGACACTTTACACCTTAGATACAGAGCAGATTTCCCGCAGCACAGTCAGTTAATGCGGCTTCACATTGTATTCCATTACCTAGAACTTAATATAAGACTTAAGATCTAGTACCTTGCTAGGATAAAATAAAATTATACTCATTATTGCTATGGGTTGCAGCAGTCCATAAGCGGCATATATTATATTTATAAATTTGATAGATGGATGTATGATTTGATAGATTGATTAGATTAGTTAGTTAAAAAACCTTATTAATCCCCGGGGAGTTCCCTTTGGAAAATTTATTTCACAAAAATCCGGGAGGAACGGTTTGATCTGGAAACACAATTCATTAGCATAATAGCCTCAAGAACATTAATGTATTTAAGTAACTGAGTAAGAAGTTCAACAAGTTCCTAATGTTTTTGTATAGTTTGTTCCATAGCGGAATGAGCAGAGTGAACCTTCTTGTCAGTTTTCCACTCTTTGGTGGGGGTTGGCAGGGCAGAATACGCACAGTACAGCAACACTGGCAAGCCAATATGATGAATTAGTTTGAAAATGGTGGCATAGAAAAAAAAAGACAACACAACAGACTTGTATGCCCATATAAGACATAACCACCTGTTCCAGTTTTCCCACCTGGGAACAAAAACTGCACCGCAAGTGGCAAAGTCTTTGTCCCGACAGTAAACACTCACTGAGGCATTTGGCCGACAAGGTAAATACAAACAGAACAGCACAACATGGTGTGCACTATGACAAGGTGTAGTTCGCATCACAAAGCCTCACAATATTCGGGTACCATCGGGAGTTTGAGAATCGTAAAAAACACGATTCCATTTCAAAGAGTGTAATTGCAATATTATCATATATTATCATTTTATCATTAGCTAATTTGGTCTCAAAATGTTGACAATATTATCGGCAATAATTTGTGGGATGATATCTCTCGATCATATGGACATGTACCTTGGACATTTATTGTTCTGATGTTTATGGCTTTTAAACTCAAAGGATCTACCCCGAGGTTCATGGGGATATCTGAATACTGACTACAAAGAGAAATTTGCCAAGTTTAACCTGGATCTCTTCTCTTTGTAGTTCGAGGAGGAGTTCGTAAGGAGACAAGAGCTACAAGCATCACTGGTTAAGAGTGAAGAAAAAGTGACTGAACTTCAAGCTGAGCTGCAAGCCCAAAAATCCCAGGTACACGAGCCGCATGGTTTGACTCCCATTGTCAGATGTTGTATTTCGTTCTGCCAATATCAATCTGACCTATCAGATTGTCTTCCAACTTTAAATATCTATAGGGTTGTATTAGTGATAATTTTTGCTTTTAGAGGTGTTGGTTTGTGGTAGTACAAGACTGTCTTTTTCATTCAGCCTTTGCCTTGACGTGGAGGCAGCTCTACTGGCTGCTGACACCAAGTCTAATGAGAAAACTGACCAGTCCTCCATGTTGGCTCTAATTTTCTGATCTATATCCCACAAGAGGAAATTGTTCTAGAAGCAATTTAATCTGACAACCTCCTTTAGCCACAGCACTGGGCCTCTCTTTTCTACTCCTCCACAAATCCTCCCGAGAATGGCTCCCATGCCCTGGCACAGCAAGATAACTCCACACTGAAGAAAAAAAAAATAGAACTTCCTTTTTGTATTGCTGATAAGTTTTCAATTTGGGAGAGCAAACACAAAATGAATACTTAAATAGGCGCTTGGTTGAAAAGATGACACTACATTTAGCCAATACAGGTACGCTTTGTACCACTGTCTTTTTTTTTTTTTTTTATCAGTGCCTTTGTCACTCTTAGTCCTCCAAACGCACACACAGACACACTTGTTAATTCAGCAAAGAAGTTCTTCCCTCTGGAGGCAGTGGCTGAGTAAAGGCCCAGTGCTGACCTTTAGTGTGCGTCTTTAATCTAAAACTGCTGCACGGATCAATAAGCCATTTGCTCTGTATGATACAATTTACCAACCTTTGTAGCCCCTGTTATAATGTTGGATTTTTAGCCTTGGAAAAAACAAATTATTGTGGGTATCTTCTGGTCAGATTCAGGACCATTTATGAGCATTTGACCTGTGCTGGATGGTTGAGAGAACACGCCTGGGCTGCTCAGGAGGGAATACTGAGGAGTTTTATTGGAGTGTATTTTTTAACCTCTATTTCTGTCATTGTTCTTTTTAATATGCCATCAAAATACATTCTCTATGCAAATATACAGTACTGGACGACATTTTATGTTGGCAAATACATTCTCCCTGTGCCCCTTTTTTTATTATTATTATTCATTTTCATGCATTTTAAGCAAAACTGTAGAAACGAGAGTCTCCTTTTATTTCATTTTGCTGTACCTTACTATAGTATAAATAGTTACTTGATTATAGAAAAGGGGCAAACAAGAGGGTTTAGTAATAAATGCTGTAATTAAGTACTGCCATAATGACATGTTTTTCACATTTCTGTGAAACCTTATGTGTCTTTTTTGCTAGTGTTTCACAGTAAGGATGTTCAAAGTTGATTAAGATAAGTCAATTTACCTCTGTTTGTAAAACGTAATACCAGTGGTGCCCCGATTGATGGGTCAGCTGATCTATCAGTTCTGATTTCCTTTATTGTCTGGCACCTTATCTACCGACCTTGTCTACGTCTGCAAAGGACTGAAAGTCAGCCATTGTTCACTTCTGTTCTGTGGTGAAAGAGGGTTGACTGACAGGTCTGCACGTGTCTACACGACAACAGCAGGTGGAGCACGCTCAAGCAAGCGTGTCATCATTGTGGAAAGGAGGGCCTTTTATATGTAATACATCATAAAGTCTGTTAGGTTAGTGGTTAAATGGCTGCCAGGTTTTTGTTGTGATGTTGTGTTCCGCATATCATGCTGTTTGCTGACATGCTTCTTAGATTAATGAGTGAGTGAGGGAGTGAGGAAGATAGCGATAGTGTATTGTAGAGGAAACGTGACTTGATATTTTGTGTCCAGCCCCCAATGTGTCTTTCCAGAAAAATGCTGGCCCTCTGACAAATATAGTTGGTGACCCCTGCTCTAAACCATGACCTGAGTCTGTTTCTATTTAATTTGTATGATGTATACAAACTTTTCTGTAAAATGGATTTGTTTTTCAAATGATTGTGTAACAAGTAACTTAATGACTGTATTTGATTATTTCTTTCTTTCTTGCTGCTGTTTACCACAGCCTGGAGCCGTACCCTACGCCCAAGCTCCACAGACTTCTTCAAGCCTCTCCTGCGCCGCACAAACAAACACTGCAGGACCTGGGCTACCACCACCACCACCACCACCTCCTCCTCCTCCGCCACCACCTCCATTATCTGGTTGTCCTGGCCTAGTTCACCCTCAATTTGGTGTCCCTCTTCCACCCCCACTAGGCTTTGGTCTAGCTTCTCCGACCCATAATGCATTGCCTTATGGCCTCTTACCAAAGAAGGAATTCAAACTAGAAACTTCGATGAAGAGATTGAACTGGTCCAAGGTAACAGATGAGGATTTTTACACTTCTAACACAAAACACCGGTCAGTTTTATCTCAATTAATTTCTGTCAGTATTGGGCAGAGATGCATGAGACTTTTTGTTGCATTGTAAATGCAAACGTTTCCGCACAGTTAAAGTTCCCTGCTTTGTATACAGTGAATGTAAAGGGCTTTGTTAGTCATTATTAAGACACAGGTTTGTGATTTATTTTATAAACTTATAGAGCGCCTTTGTAGTCTCAGAATTTCAGAGCACTTCACGCTACAGGTTTCCTTCTACAGAACTTATTCACAGCTAAGCTGCTAAGAGGGCAACTACTAGTTAACTACTACTAAGTCTAGAGTAAAGACTCCACCCTTCCAGTTGTAAGACAAGGCATTACCTACTGATCCAAGCCATCCTCATGTGTTAGTAGTAGGGATGGCTTCATACAACGTTTTCATGTCCGATACCAATACTGCAACGTATTATTGTCCCTGTTTACTGGATATTGTCCGCAATTAAATTGGGCATTTTGGCTTATGGTTTGGGATCAGGCAGGCTATAGTTGTTTTATTTGGATGCTCCATCTCGATTTTTTTTTTTTTTTTTTTTTAATAAATATCGTCCCGATACAGATTACGAGTATCGGGCCATGCTTAGGTATTAGCGGTAGTATTTTACACGGCCTAAACATGTCTTCTCCAATTGCATAATTTCGCATTCATTAAATCATTGGGGTTCAATTACTGTCATAACAGTGGTGCAAGTTGATAAAAACTTAAAACACTAAATAGTTATGTCACTTAACTTTTGTTCTTGATGTTCATCGGCAGTTGTTTTCCCAAGAAATATGTACAGCTCTGTGCCAAATCTGTAAGATGTGGAAACCATCTCCCATATATATATGGATCCAATCCAATTGAGTGTCTCACTGTAACCTGTACAGATGTTGTTCCCTGAAGAACATCCTTCCTTCACAAACTCATCTGTTTGGGGCTGATTAATCATTTATTGTCAGGTGTACGTCATAGCAGATGTTCACCAGACTGAAATGTATGTTTATGGTTTCACAACAGCCTTTTGGCAGGAAATGAGATGAACCTACAGTCCTGCAGCTC